GGGCACAGAGCTCTCCTTGACCACCAGGCCATGGGCACAGAGCTCTCCTTGACCATCTGAGCCACGGGCACAGAGCTCTCCTTGACTGACCACATGAGCCATGGGCACAGAGCTCTCCTTGACCACCAGGCCATGGGCACAGAGCTCTCCTTGACCATCTGAGCCACGGGCACGGGGCTCTCCTTGATTGACCACATGAGCCATGGGCACAGGGCTCTCCTTGACCATCTGAGCCACGGGCACAGGGCTCTCCTTAACCATGGGAGCCATGGGCACAGGGCTCTCCTTAACCATGGGAGCCACGGGCACGGGGCTCTCCTTGATTGACCATATGAGCCATGAGCACAGGGCTCTCCTTGACCATCTGAGCCACGGGCACAGGGCTCTCCTTGATTGACCATATGAGCCATGGGCACAGGGCTCTCCTTGACCAGTGGAGCCACAGGCACAGGGCTCTCCTTGACCACGGGAGCCACGGGCACAGAGCTCTCCTTGACCACTAAAGCCATGGGCACAGGGCTCTCCTTGACCACCAGAGCCACGGGCACGGGTCTCTCTTTGACCACCAGAGCCATGGGCACAGGGCTCTCCTTAACCATGGGAGCCACGGGCACAGAGCTCTCCTTGACCACCAGGCCATGGGCACAGAGCTCTCCTTGACCACTAAAGCCACATTACAGGGCTCTCTTGACCACTAAAGACACGGGCACGGGGCTCTCCTTGATTGACTACCAGAGCCATGGGCACAGGGCTCTCTTGATCACCGGAGCCACGGGCACGGGGCTCTCCTTGACTGACCACTAAAGCCATTGGCACGGGGCTCTCCTTGACCACAAGAGCCATCGGCCAGAGTCACCTCCGGGTGCCACAGGGATATGAAAGTGTTTGCCACACGGAGCGAAAGTATCCCGCCGAAATGTACTTTCCCTTCCCGCAGCAAAATTAGAGAAGGGGAAATTCTTTGCGATCCGCGCCAGGCAGAAAAAGAAAAAAAAAAATACCAAAAAAGCGAAACCGCTGTTGTTGGCAGGGGCTCTCCTGGGAGCAGAGCCGGGCGGTCCCTCACGGCCTTGCCCGGCTGTGCCTCAGACCCGCCCGCTCTCGGCGCATGGAGCCGGCCGGGCACGGCGCAGCGATGGCGGCGGCGCTGAGGGCGGCCAAGCGGCAGCTGCGGGGGGAGCTGCGGCAGCGGCTGAGGGCGATCGGAGCGGCCGAGAAGCAGCGCCAGTCCCGCCTGCTCGGGCGCAAGGTGGGTGCGGACACCAGGGCATGGCTGAGAGCCGAGCCCGGCTCGCCGGGAAGCCCGGCCGGGGACTTTCCAGGCCCGCCGGTGATCGAAACCGTGACTCAGGGGCTCTTCCGCCGAGCGGGGAGGGGAGCTCCGCCTCGGAGCCTTCCCTSGGCTGCCCGCGGCCGTGGCGAGGTGGGGCAGGAACTGCTGTGAGCAGCTCCGGCGGCAGCGGCTAAAGCTGGGCCTGCTGGGGACACTTCCCCGTGGAGCGGTGGTGACATTTCACCTCTGGGATGCTGGGGACACTTCCCCGTGGAGCGGTGGTGACATTTCTCCCGTGGAGGGGTGGTCACATTTCACCTCGGAGCTGGGGACACTTCCTTCATGGTTGCTGGGGACACTTCCCCCGTGCCGTGGTGGTCACGCTTCCCCCATGGCACGGTGGTCAAATTTCACCCCTGGAGCCGTGGCCACACTTCACCCTTGGAGCGGTCGTCACATTTCACCCCTGGGATGCTGGGGACACTTCTCTTGTGCGGTACTGGGGACACTTGCCCCGTGGCATGGTGGTCATACATCACCCCTGGAGCGTCGGTCACACTTCACCCCTGGGATGCTGGGGACACGTTCCCGTGGCGTGGTGGTCACATTTCACCCGTGGAACGGTGGTCACATTTCACCCGTGGAGCGGTGGTCACATTTCACCCCTGGGAGCTGGGGACACTTCCTTCATGGTGGCTGGGGACACTTCCCCGTGGAGCGGTGGCCACACATCACCCCGGGAGCGGTGGTCACATTTCACCCGTGAAGCGGTGGTCACATTTCACCCCTGGAGCCATGGCCACACTTCACCCATGCAGCAGTGGTCACATTTCACCCCTGGCATGCTGGGGACACTTCCCCCATGGTGTGGTGGTCACACTTCATTTTGTGGTGTGATGGTCACACTTCACCCCTGGGATGCTGGGGACACATCCCTCGTGGTGGCTGGGGTCACTTCCCCCATGGCGTGGTGGCCACACATCACCCCTGGAGCGGTGGTCACACTTCTCTCGTGGAGCAGTGGCCACATTTCACCTCTGGAGCGGTGGTCACACATCACTCCTGGAGCAGTGGCCACACTTCACTTGCGGGTGACAACACCCACCCGTGGATTTGGCGACAGCGGGGACAAACAGCCGCTCTCTCTAAGCAGGGCTCTTSATGTTCATCTCAGACATTTCACACCAGCCTGGCTCTGGCCACGCACACAAACCCCAGCCCCTGTCTGATTTGGCCRCTTGYTTTACATGCTGTCRTCTCCYTTCTGTATTTTCCAGCGGTGTTTCTTYCACGCAAWTTTATTTCTAATATAATTTTTGCACTCTAAAAGATATCAAGCAGGGTTTGCCTAACTGGTATCCTAGCACRGAGTGATATGGGTATGTACTTTTGAAATGTCCTGTTTGTGTTTGGATTACACAGTTTTTATATAGATGTATTTTATCATTTTAATAAACATAATAAAATTTTATTTTGCAGTCACTGCATGTAATAGAGCACAGTCCTCATTTTTTTTGCAGCACCAGCGGGTACTTCTAGATGATCTACATTTATATGGTTATTTTCCTGCCAGAGGATCTCAAATCATTTTATAGACTTCATTTACTACTAATGTGTAGCCACTTCATGCGTGGGATGCAGCAGCACAGAAACTTCAGGTTGTAAGAAGTTTAACTGGAAGTCTCACTTTTTTTTTTCATTGGGAATGCTTTTAAAAAACATATATATGTAGTGTCCTGCTGTCATGATAATGCATTTTAATAATCATACATCCTAGACTTAAACCTTTCAATTTTTACCAAACACTGGCATGCATCCCCTTCAAAAATTCACTTTTAAGCACCWAGCCCACATAGTACTGAATTTTTAGGAACCCTCAGCCTTTGTCTAACTGCTGCTGATAAACTCAGCAACAAAGGACTCATTTCTTCTAGTGAGAGCACACTAAAAGGTACAGCTTTTGTTTTGTTTAAAAGAAGGCAACATATCAGGAAATATAAATTGATATTATCTTGCCATTTAATAATCTGACCCAAATTGAAAATCCTGAGATTGCTTGATACAGARTGGTGCTGTGCAAGTGGCAAAAAGTAGAGTCAGCTTTCTTCTGGGGTGGRTGATAGAGCAGGGAGAAATGTTTGAAAAGGCTGAGAAAATATTTGAAATTATATACGGCAAAAAATGTAGCTTTGTACCATACATCAGTGCTTGCAGCTAATAAAAGTGAGCAGCTTMTTTTATAACACCTGAGTAATATTTTTAGCAGTAAAATCTCATTTCAAAATAATCTTTAAATTCAAAATGAAATAGCTTCACAGGCTGACCTAGACACCAGTAGTTAATTAGTTTCTGGATGATTGTTCTTTGTTAATGTTTATGCTCATGATTAAAGTCATGCTATTTGCATGCTCTGATTTTGCAAAATTTGCCGTCAGCTKGTGAACAAAGGGCAGATAATATTTGTTAAGTGTGGAAATTTTTTCAGTTTTCTCAGAAATTGCTCCRAGTCATAGCAGGAGCAACTACACAATTCTGAGAACATCTGACATTGTGTCTTCCTGCTCACATGTGGGTTTACATCTTCAACCTCATTTCTTTCCCTGCRCCGCCTAATTAATGTGTTACTGGATACATCAGAGCAGATGGGAACCTGTGTGGTACCCACAGCACACAGCCCCTGTCTGAAAGAGAGTTCAGTTTGTCTCAGTTTCTCCCTTCGCCAAACCCATGAGAAGTTTTGGCTCTGGAGRCCCTCAACAACATTAGCCACAGCCATTTTCTGGAGTCTGCAGCTTCACTAAATAGCCTGCTCTTTGAAGCAAAACTACCATGGAAATTCTGTTCTTTTAAGAGCTTAATCCCTTGGAAAAATCCTTATGTAGGTACAAAARGAAATAAAATATGGTTTTGAATTGTTAAGATGTTTCTGTGGCTGACACATCCACCATCATTTAGTYTGGAGTGTTTCTTTTTTTCCCCTTYACAAAATTACATCCATCTTCTGAATATTGCACCTGGGGTTTTGACTTCTGCAATGGAAAGCAAATAAAAAATGTAGTGAGAGCCATATCTTCACTCAGATATGGGCATTTGTRTCTCAAAACAAGGCCAGGGCAAAGGCTAAAGCTCAGAAGAGCGAGTTACCCTGCAGTTACACAAACACTGAGCAGGAGATTGGGTGATCTCTGTTCTGTAGMTAATAGAGAGTTTCTCAATTATCTGATATTTTTGACAGGTTTTTCTAAGTGCGAAGAATAAGAGTAAATCACRTTTAAATGAGTAGGGACAGGTTTCTATTTGTCTTGTCCAGACGCAAGTGACAAAATAGATAAGGTTCTAGAGAATGAGAAGACAAGYTTTTAAAAGCCTCCTTTCAAATTTTAATGCGGAATTCAGTCTGGAATGGGCAGAGACAAGTGAGGTATGAGTCTGCTAACACTTTTTCACCATATAAGCATTTTTTTTTTATTTTCTCTCTTATATTCAGTCTTTTATAAGCCCAGCACASAGTCTCATGAAAAGCAAAAAAAAAATGGCAAGGCCATCTTTCCTTCAAGCTGTGAAAAATGTGCAGTAATAAGATCACCTATCAGAAGCAGGTGATGTCTGAAGTCATATATCTCAACTTGCTGGAGGGAAGACATCCAGGTTAACAAAAAGAGGGACCTGGTCTTGGAAGACTTTGTGCTCTGCAGTCATCTGCTCTGGTGCTAATTTTCCTTTGAGCTATTATCATTGGCACTTCTCATTCTGCCTTGGCCCAGATGAGAGATGCAGCCTGTCAAAAGGATGGGAGGAAAGGAATGCTAAACCCTCATGGCTTGCATAAGCTGACATTTCTGGCCTCCTGGATCTTTCTGCAGTGATGTTGGGCATTTGGGGGTGTCTGCACTGTRTGGCACAGCTATTTAGGGAATTGGAAGATTGTTTCCAAAATTGTATTTTGCTGGCCCAAACCTGTGTTTTAGTGTTCAGTTCAGTAGATACAAAAATTTGCCTATTTTGACTTTGATGGTAGAAATATTGGAGCAGGAAACAAAGCCAGTTTATTCTGATTATGATGCATCAAAGTTTGTATCTCTACCCTTTTCAATGAATATTTTGCTCCAGTTTTGTGTTAAATTAAAGTAACTTAGTATTTCCAAAAAACTTTYTGTAAACCAATTGCGTCCATTTCCYATGTAGGTGATTGACCATCCCAAGTACCAAGAATCCAAAAGAATTGCAATCTTCCTGAGCATGCCAGATGAAGTCCAGACAGAAGAAATCATTAAGGACATTTTTAAGCAAGGCAAAGAGTGYTTCATCCCCCGTTACAAGCCTCAGAGCAATCATATGGACATGCTGAAGTTATCATCAGCCGAAGACATTTCTTCACTTGCTTTGACATCCTGGAATATTCTTCAGCCCAGTGATRATGACAATGCAAGAGAGGAAGCTCTTGCTGGTGGTGAGTATTTTCTCCCTGCATTGTGAGGTTGTTGAGCAGGAGCAGCCTGGAGGCCACTCGGAAATGCTCTGACAGCAAGAATGAAATGAAGTGTTACACTTCAGTTTTATGGGTTGTAGAGAGATGCTCCTTTCTCTTGTTCTTCTCTACCCTGTGGCACTCCTGTGACATGCCAGCAGGGCAGGAGCAAAATTGCACTGATCCAASTGAAAGAAAACCCTCCAGATAAATCATCTTCCTGCTCTGATTCATGAACACCCTCAGTGCAGTCTCAGCCAGCATAATTTAGAGGCTCATAAAGGAGAGAGGGTCTTGCTGGGGGTAGCTCAGGCTGCCACTGAAAGCCATGGGGGTTCACAGGTTTAGGATGTGCTCTGAGAACTTTAGTTTGCCCTGATGAAAGGTTGGGAGCTTCTCAGGCAATGCCTGTAGACTGAGAATTTTCTGAAATCTTTGATGCTGCAAATTGTGTTGGGTGGATGAATTGCAGTGCTGATATGGAGCCTGCCCTTGTAGAACAGCTCTCTGGACTGAAACCTTACACTGCAAATAAAAGGACTTTTGTAGGCCTGCATGAATATTAGAGTCTTTTCCAGCATTATTCTCTCACATGTTTATTTTGATCTTACAGACTCAGACACTGGATTCTTTATAGGGTTGAAAAGGTACAAGTTCATTAAGATCAGACTTGTGTATATGTGCTTTGTTTTTGTTTCCCCAAATAACCTCTCTCTTAACATAAAATTCCCCAACTCCTACTTGTAAACAAGCTTACTTTTTGTGTCTTTGCATTCATTATTTACATTCTTTTTGTAAACACTTCAATATCTTCCTGAAACATCTGCAGGAATGTTTAATCTTATTAATGGAAGACTCATGTTGAACTCGTGCTTGAAACCTCAGTCTGGGAAGATTTGCTCTAGGTTGAAATTCACYGTGCAGACAGCTTCCACACCTCACACGCTTGCCAGCTTTTTAGTGCTTGATAAAGGAGCATAACATTTCTATGACTSTGTTTGATTGAACTTGGGCTTGTATTTGCTTTGGGATGCCAATGTACTTTCCCAGAACATTTCACTGTGTTTGTTTCTCTTTTTTTTTATTTTCAATCATTACCTCTTTCCCAATTCAGAATCCTTTCTGTGTCTACATTTTAGCTACCAAGGGATTTCACTGCTTCACGCAATCATCTTCTTTGTGTTTAATATTTAGCACTGTTAATCATTTTTCTAACATTTGTCAAAAAGTTGTGTGTGTTGGTGGGATTAAGAGACTTTTGAGGTAATATAAAAAAATACCCAGCATTCTGTTGGCTTGGTTCGGGCACTCTGGACAAGCTTTTGTACTAATGATGAGCTGCTGTTAATTGAAGTTAGCCAGTCTGTTGCAGAGATCACAGGTTTAGGTATGATGGGAGCAAGGRCTTCCAGGTGTAGAGTGCACTGAGCTATACCTGGGTGCCAGGCAGTGAAGATGGGGGAGGGCAGGAACACACTTTTGTACCTGGCTACTTCTGGGGCTGCTGCTTCCTTCTCTGCACCAGGATATGGGCAGAGAGCAATGCCAAAAGATCTCCTGAGCTCTACAGAGGGATGCTCAGAGACCAGTTGTAAGAACTGATGTATGTCCGTGTCAGACTTGTTCTGCCTGAAACTCAATTTTATTCTGTTTGTACTGTTTGTACAGTAATTTTGGAATAATGCCATTTGGATTGGAAGTCAGACCTTGGTCCTTTATCCTAGAGCAGTTTTTGTAAATTAGAGAATAAGTTTAAGTTTTTTCCTCTGTTGTATAATCAGATGCACACTTCTAATTTGTCCCCATGGAAGTACATTTCATCTCAATATGTMTTTATATTCCTTTGCTATATTTTTTGTCAGTTATTATATTTTTTGAACTTTGTTACTTTTGCAGGAATTCAAATTGCTTTGCTGCTACATCCATTGTTGGAATTACGCATGGATGGCACATTTATCTCAGAGATGTTATCAAATACTTTGGTGATYTGAGGCATTTACATTGTTATAAGGAGATAACATGGTGTTACATTAGTAATGTTCCCATTGCTGGCATAAATTACTATGTAATTTCCAAGAAATAGCCTGCAGGTACATAAATAAGCCATGTCATTTCTGAGTGTATTCATTTTGCATGACAAAAAGCTTAAATTCACACTGTCCTTAAAACTTCAGGCATGGTTACTGTTAAGAATAGCTCAAATATAAGCCTGGCTATGATTTGTGCATAGTTTCCCAGTCTTTGGTAGCACTCATGGGCAATGTTGAATAGACAGGAACCCCTCCTTTTGGAGATGATCCTTTTTTTCTGTTGGACCAGGGTTTACCTGTTTTCATCTTGGCAGTAGTCACATTACACTGTGTTGGCATAAACAAAGATCACTGCTTTTGTGGTAAGAGAAAGTCTCTCATCTTCTCTGCCATGTGTGGGTGACTAATTGGCACATGAAGAGTTGTTTTCTTTAGGCTAAATGGACACAATAACAGAAAGAACAAAGGTGGAAGAAGTTCAGATATTTTTGAGTAGGGGTGTGTGTAGGTGCATGACTTGGTTCATTTCTAGCTATGCGTGTTGGAAAGACTTAGACAACTTCTGGGGCAAGCCAGTGGTACATTTTCTTAATAGGAACCAATACCAATTTGTATCCTTGCCCATCAGAAGTATAAATGTGCACTGGTATTGGGTTTTGCCCAAGGTAATACTGCTGATGAAAGTCCAGGCAGATTGCAGTRTTTGTTTACAGAGGTGTAGATACCTTGCACAACTTTGGAAGGAGTAAATCAGATAAAAATGTACTCCTGTTTGCTTTTTATCACTACTCCTACAGAAGTTTAAAGAACAYTTTGCCAGCGGCTTCAGTTTCAATGTGGTTTAGGGAGGCGTTGTGATTCACTGWGCTGGACATGGGTTTCCTCATTTGTGATGTTATTTATCATTACTTAAACCAACTCTGAGAACTATGGGGGAAAAAGCTAATTTACTCCTCTGAAAAAGAGATTATTCTTATGGGACACAAAAAGAAAAAAAAGACTGGGTTGASTATTTCCATGTGGTAAAATTCTTGGGGGCTTCTTTGAAGGGAAGTAGGTGGCCAGGGATCTCATCTGGAAGGCTTGGGCCTGAGCAAACATGCTTAACTGTTCATAACTGAACTACTGACTGGTAGTTGAAGGTGTGCAATAAATTATAAACAACTTATATAACATTGACCTGCATGATGGAGATAGGGGATTTGGCCTGAATGTTTTTCTTGGCCAGAATATCAAGTGTTATTAGAAATTATGGCTCTAAATCTGCTTACTCTAATGGATTGGGAGGTGCTTTTCTAAGAAATACAAGAAATGGGATTATATGTATAAACTTAATTCAGCCTCTTAATCTCTTGTCAATTCTTCCTGATGTCAGAGTACATTATTACATAGTCTTTGTTCCTCAGATGGGGACTCCCTCAAAGATGAACCCAGATGAAATGGTCTGGGCTCTTTCAAAGAGACAGAAGATGTTAATGATTGCCACTAATGAGAATCTGCTCGATCATTGCTTTCTTCCTGCTCAGGTTAGAGCTGCAGGCCTCTTTACTGTACCTTGTTAAAACCTCAGGATGGAGATGGAGATCTTCATTTCTATATGGGTTYTTCATCACTACCCTGTTCAATGGCTTGAAGATATTAAATGGTGTGTGCTGGTGGAGAAGCAGCAGAGCCTCAGGATCCTGTTGCAGCCTGAGTTGTGCAGAGGAGCTGCCCTCAGTGAATACATACTCTTTTGCTTGTTTTTCCAACAYATAGTTTTCTTCTCTGTTCCTCCAAAACAATAGTTCCCCAGATTTGTCTCAGCCTTGGGCTGGATCTCCCTTTCCAAGCTTTAATTCCKCTACCACCATAGTGTGCCTTTCAATCTTTCTGCTCTTTGCCTGGCCTCTCTGAAATTCCCTTCTCAAGTGTCCTTCTCTGGCCTTTCTCACCRTATTCCCCACTTCTGCCCTCAGTCCCAGCCTGTCATTTCAGGGGCAGCTGGGCCAACATAAATAGCTTATCCCTGCCAAAAGGGAGGAGATCATGTGCTTTGTCTTCTTTCACTTGTCTGCTTCCACATGTATAAGATTCCCTGTCCCAATTTACTTATTTCCTTCCCCACTGTGCTGGCTTCTTTCTCTTTTTCGTTGGCTTAGAAAATCTTCACTGTTTAATCGTACTTTTTGTACAAAAGGTACACGTTTGTGATTGTTTCTTTTGGGCAGTGCTGGATTAAATAAACTGCTGCCCTTTCTCCTCCTCTTGGTCCCCACYCCTCCTCTCGTGTGCCAGCACAGATGGCCCTGCAGCCACATTGGGAGCTATACTGGGAAACCAGTCTTGGTTAGAAGCAACCCAGCACCAGCAGAAATCTCTTCTCARACAGGGCCAAAACACACAGTTTTGGACTGATTCAACTGAAGGGCTGGTAGGAAGCTGATGATGAAGGCTTGTGAAAATGACTGTCGTGCCAAAAAGTCTTCAGTGAAACTTCAGTCATCATTTCCTTCCATGTTTCAGTTCCCAGTCTTGTCCCAGCCAGCAGGAATAGGAGCAGCCAGTGAAATGAAAGTCCTTCAGAGTCCTCACAGCTGGGTTGGGTTGGGAAGGAGCAGCTGAGCCTGCAGCTCCATGTGCTCTGTGCAGCAATACCAGCTTATGGAGTTTTCCCTCCTCACATTTTCAGCCTTTTCCTGCCTCTCTGTGGGGAGCTGGATCAGCTTGCTCCTCTTGGTGAAGAGTATTTTCCTCCTTTGCCCTACCCTGTTTTTGTGGGGATTTTTKGAACCCAATGAGTTTACCAGTTTGCCATGTGCAATGTGTGTGGGGAGGAGGGAATGAGGAGCCTGCATGGATGGAATATCCCCTGTGGCACAGGATCCTAGAGAGAGCTGTGGGGCCACCAAGCAGATGTGACTCCAGCAGTGCTACAGGGAGGGGGCATCTTCAGAGACCCTCAAAACTCAC